GCTCTACACCCTCAGCAGGGTCCTGGAGTGTGCATGGGAGTTCGCCCAACCGGTCTACGTGTTTTGTGGACTTGGAGAAGGCATTCGACCGTATCATGACAGGAACCCGGAAGAGGGAACATGGGACCCCTGTCCTGGCCTCACTTCACTGGCTGCCTGTATATTTTAGGATTCATTTTAAAATTCTTATGTTTGTTTTTAAATCACTGCATAATCTTGCCCCGGCTTACCTCTCTGAGCTTCTTCATCCCTACGTACCTTATCGGTCTCTCAGGTCAGCAGATCAGCTGCTCTTGGAGGTACCGAGAACAAAAAGGAAGCTCAGAGGGGACATGGCTTTCTCTGTCATCGACCCTAAATTATGGAATGACCTGCCTTTGCAGGTCAGAGAGGCCCCTTCACTGTCCACTTTTAAAGCTTGTCTTAAAACCCATCTCTTTTACTTGGCTTTCAACACCAGCGGGATCTAGTTTTTTAAATTGTATGTTTTTGTTTTTAAACCGTTTTTAATCACTTTTTATTATGTTGTTGTTTTTATGTACAGCACTTTGTATCAGCTGTGGTTGTTTTAAAGTGCTTTATAAATAAAGTTGGTATGGTATGGTATGGTATTAGTTTGTTATCATTACTACGGTGCAGGACTGCTTTTTCCCCTTTTTTTCCACATCATGTCTCCTGCCTGGATCTGTTATTATCTCGCTCTGAAGCACGGAGGAGTGTCAGAGGTGAGCTCGTTTCAACTGCTTTTTACGACGTGGTCTCATTTAAGGAGTCATGCATTTTGTGAATGAAGCCAATATTTCAGTTAAAATACATAAGTAAAAATATTTATCTGAATATAGTACTATCCCCCAACTTTATGGATGATTTTATAGATTCAATTTTACATATTATACTTGAATAAATACGGTAAGTCTCGAAGATTGAAAATCAAACCCAAAATTGACAAATCTAGCAGATGTTTTTTTGAAAATGTCTGCATTGTCAACACTAACTTGAGATTCTTCTGTAAAGCCTTTGTGCTTTAGATGTTTGGCAGAAATGTTAAGGTTTAGCATTTTTTCTAAATAAAACCATGGCCTTGAAATGGAGSACTTTTATACTTTTCTAGTATATTTAAAAGTGTACTTGTATAGTATCTAATGCTATTTACAGCAGGTTTTGAAAGTAGCTGGCTCACTTGGCAGCAGATTGAACTCCAGTGTGTTCTGTGATGAATGTTTGGATTCGGCAGTGACTGAGAGGATTTCATGCATCTGTCTTCGGTCTTCATGCAGGGATTATTGTTGCATTGTGTTGTGTTGCGTGTCAGTCAGTGTTCAGGYACTCCATCAGAGGTGCAGTTCATCRCTCTGAACCCAGGAAGCGTGACGCGGCCRTCCATGTAGATGTCCCGGTCCGAGCCCAGGTTCATGCGTTTCACCAGGTTCTTCTCGTACAGTAAGGGGTGGTAGGCGCCGAGCGTGCAGGCGGCGTCAAAGAAACGCTGGTAGTAGTGGCACAGCTCCGTCTTCCTGCGGGAYGGCAGGAACTCGTAGACGTGCACCACCTCACACAGAGACATCATGAGGACCGTTCCTGCACAGGAAAACAGGCTCGATCCTTACTGACAGGAAGGATTCAGCTCACAGGTTTAATGATAAATATTGTGTTTTAAACAGTTTGTATCTCCTGAGCAACACAAAGAGGATGTTTTTGCACCATTTTCCTCTCTTGCAAACCAAATTTTAAGGTTGACCTACCAATGCTTTACCCCTAATTTACACTAGATGCGGTTCCGCTCTGGTCCGGTCCGGTTTGAAGCACAGAGGAGGTCCGAGAAGCGTGTGCAGGAAATGCGAGATCACGCAATAAATCCAGTGATAAATGTGGAAGTCAGAGCAAAATAATTAATTTTGTGGGAGACGGACTCCAAACAGCTGAAACTCCATCACTGTCGTCTTTTTGAAACTTCTAATTTCAAAATAAAATCCACATGTATCATGTGTGTTCATATGCTGCTACGTTTCCATCTGTTTCCCAAACAGAACCATACATTCTGACAGCATTTGTGTAGAAATATCCACATATTTATTAATATAATTATTATATAATTTACACAAAATTAGTCTGCTTTTGGTGAGTTCATTTGAAAATACAAATGTTGTGCTCGTTCCTTTTCCTGGTGATCTTTGTAGATCGACTCTGATGTCCGGCAAAAATAGGATCAAATCTAATTTTGGCGGATCACCAAGCGGAGCCGCTGTTAATACTCATTGATTAAAATAGTTGTGTATTTGCTGCAGAAGTCAGACCAGAGCAGAAGCACATCTAGTGTGAATTAGGAGTTATGCCCAGGAGGTGGGAATCACACGTAACTCATGATTCAATACTTCTTACATAACCTGTTACGTCATGGATAAACATCAATTCTGCTACAGCTGAGAAACTGATGCACACTCCTAAAATGATACAACAAACACATTAGTTTGATTATTATCTAAATATGTTTGGTTCATGAGAAGTAATGATGATGTATAAGAGGCTTTAACTGGCTTTAACTGTCTCAGTGTTTTCAGTCTCAAAGAGTTCTTTAAATGAGTCATGTTTTGCACACTAAATGTTTTTTTGAAGCTAAGAACCTATGAAGTCAAGCCTACTTTCATTTCAGACACTTTGAGGAGAGTGTATGAGCAGGAACTGGTGGGACATCTTGTGTTTCTCATACCCAGGAAGCCAGAAGAGGGCGGGTTCTTCTGAATGGGCTCAGCCATGTTGTCTTGTATTCGCTGCCAGAGCTGCCACTCAAAGCGAGGATGCAGGATGTAGAAAGGCTGCTGCGGGTGAAGCCTCCTGTATCTCTGGTACTGGGCGAAGATGGGGTAATCTGTTCGGTTGTACCACTGCAGGAAAGATGCACCATGCGTTTGCAGAAACCACAACCTGGTTTTCACTGTATTTCACGTCACTACCCTATCTGCAGACCTATATTGTTTTTTAACTAACAAATAAAGAGATGAAAACTGCACCTAACTTGTTTTGCTGTGGGTGCCTTGATCATGTAAATCTTACCTGAGTCAGGTCAGAAGAAAAGGGGGCGGGGTCCCATGCCACCAGAACACCCGAGCTGTACAAAGAACTGGACAAGAAGCGATGTTCATCCGTCGCCATCACCTGAAAAACAAGAAAAGTTTCATTTATTTATAATAAATTTGCATATAGTACAAACTGTGTGTCTTATGAAATGCCAAACTTATAGAGAAAACCCACATGTGCATAGGGAGAACATGCAAAGTCTACACAGAAAGACTGGGAGGTGAACTGGTGACTTTCTTGCTGCTAACAGTACTAACCACTGCCCCACTGTGCTCTCCTGCTTCTTACGCAAATGGAAATGAAAGCAGACTTTTACTCTGAAAAGCAGTTTAGCGCAGACGCTTCCTGTCCAGGCAGCCTCTGAACACTGCTACAGCATACCTGTCGGTGTTTGTGTGTTTACCTGTGAGTTGATGAGGCGGATGGTGGTTTTAGAGCCCACATCTTTCTCGAAGCCGATGGTTGGAGCRCCGTTGAACCGCACCACTGCATCATGGGAGTCTGTTGGTTTTCAAAGGAGGAATTTTTCAGTTTCCTGATAAAAACATCTGCTGTTGATTTCAGAGCTGTGGGTTRTTGATAACATCTTTCTTGGACTCCTGTTGTTGCAAAAATGTGCTCATAAAATGTTTTGCTGATTATTCCATTTGTCTCWATGCTGATGACACCGTCATGTTCAGAACTTTAACCCAAAATAGTTTTATAATCATTTAAAGACAGTGAATAAATAAGAAGTCTTGCATTGTGTTAAAGGGATCCATGATTAGTTGTAACATTAGATTTTATTTAATAAACATGTTTTATCTGTAAAATAAAGACTGTAAAAATACTGTAGGCTGTTTAGTTGTTATAATTTTAAAAAATATATTTTAACATGGATGGAGCCATTTTACTTACATGCAAAACATTCTGGGTAAATG